GGTTCGTTCGCGTAGCTGTTAATTGTTCATGTTTAACCAAAACTTACAGGTTTTTGCGTTCGCGTACGCAAAAAACTTGCAAAGTAGGGGAAATTGAGAGAGCAAAGTGACATTTCATTTTGAGGGGAAGCTGTTAGTTTCTGTTGGAAAAATTTTTGCCAACAGCAATTTGCCAACAGGGAAACAGCTGATCAAAAACAGCTGGTTGGCATTTACGCAAATCACAAAATTTAATTTGATGGTTTGGAAGATAAAAATTACTAAATGTGACTAATTAAACTTGTAAGAAATAAGTAGTTATTTGTTTAATCAATAAACTGTGTCAGTATAACACTTTGCGATGACTTTTCGTACGTTTTAAATCTTACACTTTTGTATGTAAACAAAAATTATATCAGCTGTTCGTCTAACTTGCAAGTTTCTGCAAATTTTCTGTTCGCGTACTATTTTGGATATTTCTCTCTTGTGAGCGAACAGATGACATTTCGCCGGAATTTGGCAGTTGGTTGGTTTCTTTTGGAGATTTTAAACGAACGCACCTAATATGGGTACAAACAAAATCATTTTTAATATAAGCCTAAAAAAATAAAAAGTTTGTTTTGCATTTTCGTTTCCGTTGCTTCGTTCAGTTGGTTGGTACACTTAACTGGTTTTTACACTTTTGTTTCCTGCACCAGCGTATGTATGCACATATGCTAGAAAAAAACTTCAAACCAGACGCACTTGAGCCCCATACGAGTACAAATTGAGCCTTCAAGCATGAAGTATTCAGTGCAATTGGCACGCGCACAGCAGGGGTGACTTCTAAGGACCAACAGTCATGCGCTCATACCAGCATAAATATTACTAGCACACAAATTACCCAACCACACGCATGTAACTAGATGGCATCAGCAAAACCGGCGCCACCACCACCGTCATCGAAAAAAGTGCCTGCAAGGAATTGCCAAATCGGCCTGTTTGAGTCATTGTATTTCCTGCGCTAAGCATAGCATACAATGACACACCCTATTCCCACCTCCCACCACCTTCATAACTTATGCATTGCGTACACTTACACTTACCTTTGTTCCGGCAGCTGTTTCAACTCGGACATATCTAGTTCTAAACGTAGATTTGACACTTCGCATAGCAAATGATCACGATGGGCAGTGACTTCCTTAAGCTTTTCGCGCAAAGCACGATTCTCGCGCAGCAGTTCCTCTACATTGATCTTGACCGTATTCACAGCAGCGGCAATTTGTGGTGCCAGCGATGGTGTTGTGGCCGTAGGCGTAACCGTCGCCATTACACCCACAGACTCACTTGAACCGAAAATGTTTAAATCATTATAACGTAAAATACTATTGGTGCCGGTTATGCTGTTCGTGCCAACAGCGCCGGCGCTGTTGCTGCCGCCACCATTGATGCCTCCAACAATGTTGCTGCTGTTGCTGGGGTCATAACCAAAACCGGCCATGATGGAACTCGCTATAGCAAGCGATTGTGTGGTCTGATGCAGCTGCTGATCGAAAGATGCTTCTGAGCTGCACAAGGAAATGGCGTCTTGCGCCAATTGGCTTTGACTCTTTGCAGGTAGCAGCAGCTCTCCAGGCTCGATGCTATCACCGATCATATTAATATTCAGATTTAGATTGGATTGTTGCTGTGACGAAATGGATTCGTCATTATCGCACATTCTAGTCGATTTGTTCGCGCGTATGCGCACACACTTTCTTCGTGTAGATGAACTTTTTTTTTTAATAATTTTTATAGTTGCACTTCCTAATATGCACACGCACAATGCACCACTCGCTACAAATACACTTTGAACTGGTTCTGTGCTTTGAACTTGTATTTTTTTATCGGATATTTCTATTATTTATTTATTCAATGACTAGTATGAGACACAGTATTAATCAACTACACTCAAATGTATGTACATATATAGCACTTTTGTTTAAACGCACTCAGCGTGGGCGCAAATAAACAAACATTCGACATTTTCGCAAATGAAAAAGCATGATTCTTGGAATTAACACTTCGATACGAAAAATTCGTAAACTTTCCATGTGTAATGGCCGCAGTTCACAACTCACAACGATCTACGTTCTATTTATTATTATCAGCAATTTCACTAATTCGATCAATATTTTTTTATATTTCACGAGCACTCCAAAAGCATCCAAGCAAGCTGTTGCGCTGCTACAAAGAAACAAAAAGCACATCCCTATATGCAAGGCGAATTAAAACAAATTCGCCTTGGTTTTTGGTTTTTTGTTTTTGTGACATTCATAACGCATGGTTGCATTTTTCGCTTACATGGTTGCATTTTTTGACAGCGTGGAAAATCCCAAACCGTTTCATCTTCGTACCGAACCAATCTGTCAAGCGTATTTTGTCCCACACCAGCAGTGCCGTGCTTATTAGCATTTCACAGCTTTACAGCTCTGTTCTACAGCAACGAAGAGAATCAAGGTCACCTTAATTGATAATAAGTATTATAATTACGGCCGTTCGATGCTTTTCAAAGTCTTCGAGCCATCTGTATCCAAGTGCTAAGCGCCTCAGGAGTAGAGGTGCATCCCGCCTCCTCAGTTGCTTGGTTATTATGCTTGATTTTAAAGCCGGGAAATTTTTCATTGGCTGAATTTCTTTATTCATTCTGAACGTTTGGAATAAACTTTTTTGTTTACTTATTCTTTAGAACGTTCCTGATGATATGTTAACGTATATTTCAAACGTATTCTGTTTATTCCGGTTGTGAAATGGGATTATCCGGAATGTATAAAGAAACGCAGCCATTCTTGAATGTTTTCCAAATCCTTCTACATATACATTTCTACAGTGTCGTTGGGAGTTGGTGAGTGATTACCCCTTTGTCGAAAGGATTTAAATATATTAAATATATAGATAATATGTTCGTGCAAAAGTTTAGTTCAATCAGCCTTATCACCGTTTTAATACAGTTTGTAGCTGATTGTTATTACAAACGCTCGTATGCTACCATATCGTTCAACCTCTCAACACAATTCAGGATTTCACGAAGATTTCACTTCAAGGTATGTATTCTACAGCAGCGAAGAGAACCAAGGTCGCCTAAATTGATAATAAGTATTATAATTACAGCCGTTCGATGCTTTTCAAAGTCTTCGAGCCATCTGTATCCAAGTGCTGTATCCAAGTGCGCCTCAGGAGTAGAGGTGCATCCCGCCTCCTCAGTTGCTTGGTTGTTATGCTTGATTTTAAAGCCAGAAAAAATTTTTCATTGTTGAATGTTTTCCAAAACCTTCTACATATACATTTCTACAGTGTCGTAGGGACTTGGTGAGCGATTACCCCTTTGTAGCAAGGATTTTCCTAAAGTTTCAGAGATGTGTTTTATAGGCTCAATTAGACCAACCAACGGGGTGTGTTTAAATCCGAGTATTTTTGAACTATAAACCCAGGAGTTATCTGTAAGTCGTTGGAGCATCTCAATTGACTTCCAGGCATCAAGTGACGTAGCCAAGCGCCCGCAGAAGCCTAATTTAATCGTAACATGCACTGCCGCAGCTAATCACACCTAACCTAAGATATGTACATACATACAAATGTGTCTTAAAAATTATTTAGGTAGATATGCATAGCGATAAGTTTTTAATAGGTGTATTATTATTAGTTTCTTCAAGCATTGTATTTAGATATATACATATTTATTGATACCCATAACTGTAATGTTAAAAGTTTAGATGCATACAAGGATGTAACTCTAATCTGAAAATCTTTTTACTGACTAAAATATTCGCACACAATTAACAATGCATTGATAACGATATCTATACATAAGTTAATCGGTTATGATGTCGTTAAATATATCGAAAATTAATAATAATAATAGTAGATTTGCGCTTACATAATAGTTTAGTATCTGGCCGGGCTTCTTCTCGATTTGTGGCGGGCGCCTTGATTTTCACCTACAGTTTTACGCCGACACCGAACGGAGATTGAATTTTTATGAGAAGCTGCTTTTCATGGCACAAATAGGAGCGACAGTTATAAGAAAACACCTTTTTAGCTTTTTTATTTTTTACTAGCCGGCCTTGAGGCTTCGCCTTTTGCACATTCGCCGACCATATCTCCTTTCACTTGGTACCTCATTCTTTAGTCCAACGAATGGGGAAGATATTATGAATTTAAGAAAAGTGGCAACCCTACTCAAAAGCTAACACATTACTGAACACATTATATTGCCGAACAAAAAGAAACCAAGTTCAACCAAAATATCAGGCTAGCATAAACTGTTGTCGAGGCATGTTGCGTTGTTTGGACGCTTCTTAGCGCTCAGTTTTTTGTGGAAAATTATGTCTCGTGCTGCGCTTTTCTTGAATTCCGGAATCGTACGCGCACAACCTCCTCGTTTCAACTGAAGTAATCGATTGAATGGCCGAGTCGTTCGCTCTCGCAAAAGACACCAACACATGCTCAAAATGTGATAGTGTTGGTGTGCCCATCGGCGTAGCCAGAATGAAATTTAGGGGGGGGCTCGACGCTATTAAGCTGGCATTTCAGGGTACTATTTTATATATATATAAGGAAAATTTGAAAGTTAGGGGGGGCTCGGGAACCCCCCTGCCCCTACCTGGCTACGCCCATGGGTTTGCCCATTAATGATCTAGAGGCCAAGCGCTTTCATTTGATATCTCACTTTTTGAAATACAACCCTATAGAAATTGTAAGCTCTAAAGATAATACCCCTATCGATACAGAATATATAAAACAAATATAAGGATAAGATAGCAATTTTGTATAGGTTGCAACCCTACTCAAAAAAATTAATGTCTTTGTACATGCGAAGGCCCTGCCCTTTCATTTGGTGTCTCCTTTTGTTAGCCAACGAACAGTAAAAATCTATAATGTTAGCACAGGTGGCAACCCTACTAAAAAAAATAATAAATTTTTGCACATCAAGAGGCTAAGTATTTTCGTTCGAAGATGACGGTGCAGAACTGATACCTTCGCTCATTAAGATTGAATAAAGTAATTTTTTTAACAGGTGGCAACGCTACTCAAAAAAATAAAACATTTCTGCTTATCTAAAGGCCAAAACCTTCTATTTGACACCTCACTTCTTGTAATCCAGCGAACGGCGAAGATCTTATAGTTTTTAAACAGGTGGCAACCCTACTCAGAAAAATAATACATTATTACACATCTAGAGGCTAAGTCTTTTCATTTGACAGTGACGGTACAGAACTGATGCTTACGCTATTCAAAAAATAAGACATTAGTGCTTTTCTAGAGGCCAATCGCTTTCATTTGACACCTCACTTTTTGTAATCCAACGAACGGTGCGGATCTTATAGCTTTTAGACAGGTGGGAACCCTATTAAAGTTCTCAGTAAAAAAGGTTACTCACCTATCGATACTGAGTGTATTAGAGAAAATCTCGTCAAAATCTGATCAGTAGATTTCGAGATTACCGCGTACAAAGAATCTCGACTTTCCTTTATACTATGTATAGATTTTTTGATGTTTGTCATAAACTGGGCTTGAACCCAGGTCCTGCGGAATGGTGGCGCGCACTGCTAACCACTACACCACAGCGGCCATTATTTTATCAATAATACAATCACATAAATCGACAATTTCGTTGATAGGTTTTTATTGAAATATATCGATAATTATATCGACAATTCAGCCAAAATTTGTATATGTATTCATATAATGTTACTAAATAAAATTGTATTTAAATATATTTAACATCGGTATGGCCATCGCAAAATTTCTTATTAGGCGCCGCGAAGCAAATGGGCATTGGCTAGTTATAAATGAAATCGGCTGTGCTAGAGGTTTTAAACTATCGATAATCAACTAGTACTGTCGAGAGTCTAAGCGTTTTTGAGAAAAACTACTCATCGATAAGGGCAAAAAAATAAAGCTGTCGATACTATTGATAGTACCATCGATAGTTTCACACCTCTACTGCAAAAGCCTTTACAGGTGTCATGCAACTGCCTGGCTCTTACTTATGTGAACTACGGGAGAACCGGGTACATCCCCAAGGCTTGGAGGGTCGGCGGAAATAACTGCCATCAATGAAACGGTAGACTCAGACACACAGAAAATTGGGACGTCAGTTAGGAGGCTAGCGTATACTATGATAGTCAGGCGGAGTACTTCCTAATCAGGCTCATTTGGTTGACCTGGGAAGGAAAGGAACCCTTGAAACGTGTCACCTTCGGTGCACTCCTGGACGGTTAGGCCTCATTCAAACTCAGCGAGCGCTGGGCTAATACTAGGATATGCACAATTGAAAGATCCTTCTGGCCTGGGGTGGATCGGGGGTGATCAAAGAAGCTCCTTATGCTTGCAAAGCCTCGAATTGTTTTACCGTGCAATTGGTATTCGCGCGGTAAGATTGGGAATCTTAACTGGAAACATTTTGGCACGCACTTCATGACCAACCTTGGGGCTCTTTCAGGCATTGAATTTAGCCGCATTCGTAGTTATGTAATCGGGTCACGGCGTTTCGCCGACTAGATAAACGGTCTCCGTTCAGACTCACAAAGGATAATATTTTAATTGTAATCACGATATAGATGAATATATCATAAATAATATCGACATTAATACCGGAAACAATAATGTCTGCATGTATTAATAACGGTAATATCGATTTAGAGTACCTGTTAACGAAAAATCTGATTGTAAACGATGGTTAAAGGAACTTGGGTCTCACTTTCTCCCTACTATTTAAAAATGTGCTTTACCTGTTTATATATACACATCTACATTAGGGAGCATGACTAAAAAAAGTTTCGGTTATTCCACCGAAATTATAAAATCTATTATATTTTAAGACTTCCGTCAAAATATTTCAGAAAAATATTAATATTTACATGAGCAGGGCCGATTCACAATCACACACATCTGATTATTATCACAAAAAATCTGATTATTTTGATTTCATTGATAAAACTGTTAAAATTTTTTAGGCAGACCTTTTA